CATTCCTGTCCCCTTAGTAGGCAGGGACTCTTACAACTAATAACACCCTTAAGGTGGTAACCACCTAGGTCTGTAAATAGATGTCATGAGTGGAACAGATCTGCCAGTCTGTTACAATTTTGCTGTAAATGAGTCTTAATGGATATGAAATCTTTCTGTACAGTTAGAAAGTATGAAGAGTTAATGGAACTGCATTTGGAATTCAAAAAACATGTTCTCCCAATACTATGGCAGTGTATAATTTTTTATCTTCCTTACCCCTTCTATAATTGCCAGTAAAGGTTCACTGCGTCCTTCTCTCCCATTCTCTGTCCCTCTTAAGGCAAAAGAGAACCTCTGGGCAAGCAGCCAGCATATATCTACCCCTTACCAAGTGCAAGCTGTTCTTGAAAAGCTGCTTTCTTATTTATGGTGAACTGAGTTCTGCTCCCAGAACTTAAATATCTATCTGCTTGGCAACTTTGTAAGGGGAAGCAAGGGAGCGGAGAATAGTTTTAAATTAAGGGCCTAACCTGTTTAAAACAGAGTGTTTCCTTGTTTTCCCAACAAAGTCTTACATGATAGTCTGGCCAACATGTGGAGGAAATCCAGAAACAGAGGGAGTGCTCTTTGCCTGTCAGTGTGTGAGCCAGAAATGAGTTGGGAACAATGTATTTCTGCAAAAGACAAGTCCCACTCAAGGGTAGTGGAAAATAGCTGCCTTCTCTTTTTGAGTGCATCTCATTGGGAAGGCTGTCTGTGGCCACGACCGAACATGTGCCATATGAAATGGGAGTTGCTGTAGCAAGCACATAATTTCTGTGTTCAAGATCAGCATATGATGTTTACATTAACCTGATACAGCGTGCAGCAGGTTCTGATGCAGGTCCTGGTATCAGTGAGAGGAGTCCCGGGCTGCTCCCATTTGCAGCAGCTCTGCTTGGGCTGCAGTGCAGGGCAGAAGCCCTGCAGTGCCAAATACATGCCCTAGGTCCACAGCTGGCTTTACGAACACCAGATTCTGCCAAGTTCACTCTGTTCCAGCTTTGAAAACAAGGTGCCTGTTGGCTGCTGAAATAGGAGCTGGAATCAGCAGATCAAAGCAACTGGTCTTTCATTTGAATTTGGAAACTGATTCGAGCCTCCCCTCCTTTGATTGTCATCACCTATGTTAGGTACACCCTTGCTCCATACACCTTCTCCTGGCAAAATAAACTGAATGTAACCATGCTATGGAAAGATTTCTGTTTGCTGAGCGCCTGAACCAGAAGGTCTACAGAGGATAAATGCTCTTTGAGAGAGGCATGTGGTTGCTCTTGACCCTCTCCTGTCAAATGACCCGGGGCTTTCAGTGCATCCCACAGAGCTTCAGCTCACAAATGTGATTAGTTCAGAGAGCAGCAGCTTTCTGTGGAGAGGCTAAAACCATCTCAGGGGAGCAGTGCTTTACCGAAAATCTTTCTCTTGCTGTTAGTTATCTGTGTCTTTTCACAGCGCTTCCTTTAGTTGCCCTGAAGTCCACATTGCCAGAGGGATGAGCCTGTGTGACAGGCAAGAGAAGCGGCTAATGCTATTTCTGGGAGAGGACAGTAGGCTTTCCAGCATGGCTCTGGACTTCCCGGTGATATTCACATCCATCAACCATTATTTCCCACATTTCACCATGCTACCTTGATTGCTAGGCTTTTTTTCCAATGAGGAGCCATCAGGAAGCAAATAGCATAGGGAAAACTGCCTGATTCCACTTAGGTCCATAAGCAAAGGAAAACTAAATACATGCCTAAACATTTCTAAGAGAAACAGAAAGCCAAGTAGGAGCCTCTTATAAGGCTCTTTATTTAATGTATTTTCCTAAGGGGAGTAGCATAGGAAAGAAGAAAGCATACAGGGAGGACAAAGTGAGAAGAAAAAATAATAGCTGAGTAAAAGGAGAATTATTTGGATATATGTGTGTTAACTTGAGCAAAACTGTCTCTGTGATTAATTTTTACATGTCCATATTAATAACTGTGTAACATGTGGGACTGTGGTTTATTGCTTCCAGCATTCATTGAAACTGGATTTAACATTGAAAATGGATAAAATGAAAGGCCTCACGGGAGCAATTTAAAGTAGATTAATTTATTTTCCCTGTTCTTGATCATGAACCACAAAGAATCATCATAAGATTGCTTTCTATGAGTATGAGATGTGCTTGCTTAAGCAATAGCATAGGGGCATTTCAGGGATTTCTAGGCTTTGCTGATGAGCGAACTGGTTCTGTGACACCAGTAACAATGCCATCAGACCCATTTGGGTTGGACTGGATGATCTTAAAGGTCTTTTCCAACCTAAACTATTCTATGATTCTATGATTTATTTTGGATTTTCTGATTCTGGTAATGTTGCTCTACAATGACCTCAGGAGAACTGCTGTTAACAAATATAAATTCCTAAGCAGGTCACGTAAAGAAAACTAATGCCCTCTGCTGTTTTTTTCAGTCAGTCAGTTTCAGGAGTCACAGTTTCATTCACCAGAAATGTGTTAAACAGACACCTAAGATGCTGGTAGTTGGTTGATTTTGGCACTGCGAAAACTTAGTGGGTGGGGAGTTTTACACGTTTATAATTCAGATTGGCAGCCTTACATCTAAATATTGACATAATTGCATGCATTTCCCTTTCGATCTCAGAAGCACTAAGTGAGCCTTGACTTCTTCAAACTGATGTCTTCTCTGATCCAATTTGACATGTCAATGACAAGCATTTAATTTTTTTCGTCTTCCAATTTTGATACAAGTCGACAGAATCTATATGTAATTAAGAATGCTCACCATCAGTAGATCAACTATTAAGCCTAAGCCTGGTTTTGTGATAAACATATAATTTTCTGGTAAATTGGTGTTTATGACTCAATTTATTAAGTTAAGAATATGAGTTGTCATATTTCAGTGTAACCTTTATTTTTTTTTAAACAGCTAAACACAGGAGTACTGAGAGGTCAGGACTTCTCTCTCTCCTTCCTATTTTTTTTATTTTACTACCACTATTTAATTGCAAGACATAATTGTATCATGATTGCTGCTGCACTATGACAAAGGAAATGCAACATTTCCACTAGGACAACATTGTTCCTCTGTCCTAGCTGGCTGATAACCAGAGTGGAACCATAGTGCTGGAGAATTTGGAGAGACTGCTCCCCAGAGATGTAAAATAGAAACAGTATTTCCACAAATACCACATACTGTGCTTCTTCATGCAATGCCTTTCAATGTGTTTCATGGAGAAATATGTCTCTCTTTCAAAAAAGGAGGGAAAAGCAGAAAAAATTCTATTAGTCATTCAGTCCTACAGTAATATATTATTTCATAGAAGTATCTTTACTTATGTATATTGCTTTTCAGTGGAGAATCTTTAAACCTCTTACAAATACAACTTAGATTAGTACCTCACAATAATCTAGTGTGGTAGGGGAGTATTTTAGTAACATGCTGATAATTAATAACACAGCTAAAGTTAAACAGCAGGGGCTAAGTCTAGGACTTTTTGTTTCCACACGTCCTCCTCTAATCCTGAATTCCTATTTCACTTTTCAATATACATGCAGGAAAACCAGAACAAAACAAAACAACCTTTATTCATTAAATATAACCATATTTTCCTGACTGGCAACTATTGGTATAGAGCATTGGACTTTTACACTTGTAAATTATTTTAAAAATACATTTATATTCACAGTTGTGGAAAACGGTTCAAATGATGACTGTTTTGCAACGTGCTCACTGGAGCTAGGACTTAACCATTAGCAGATACTGTGAATCCCTCAACTCACTTGTTGGTCAGAAGTTTCATAATCAGAGGATGGAGACTCAGATTATCTGAATGTTTCCATGGACAATTCTGACAAAACTGTTACTTGGATTACTGACTGAGTTTGCTGCTGCCCATGGACAAGGGGCAGTTAAATCATCACTCACAAAAAAATTGTCAGGAAGGGACATGAAGTGAATTAATGAAGCCATGCTTTCAGCTGTGCACATCAACACAGGTTCACTTAAGACACTAAAGAATCCAACCCACAAATTAAAGCTGAAGCTCTTATTCATGGCTTTTAATCAAATCAATATTTTCAAACACTCTTTTGTCCAAATCATCAGCCTCCAGCTATCTTCTGCCACTTTCTCAAGCCAATGAACAATTAATATAAAGTTAAAGTAACATCATTTAGACCTAAGTCTTAAGTGCACTGTGATTAAAAGTATGTTTGTACCATGGGCTGCAGAGTGTTTTGCAGTCTTAAAAGAGCCCAGATGATTTGCAAATTTGATTCTAATCAGTTTCAGCTGCCATACCTTCCCACTTAATATTTCACATCACTTTTCTAAGGAGCTAGTAATCTCTGCTTTCTTTGGGCAAGAAGAAAGAAATTCAAGAGACTTAATAAAATTTGACACAGTACCGAGACTTTCAAACCTTTGTGCTCTCCTCACCCCCTTCCAAAGGACCACACGCTGCTTTAGGCAGAACAGAAATGGATTAAATCAAACTAGTAACGGCTTAAAGTATTTTAAGTACTCTTTTTCATATTAAAATATCTAGAATTTATAGTCTTTTTGTTCAGCATTTGGGCTTTTTTAAATGGTGTTAATGTGTCTGCTTTAAGTACCCTTTCTTGTTTTCACTGCAGTTCTAATTGTACATGTGAAAAGTAAAATAACACCTGCTGTAGTTGTGCCTGGTGTCTCTGGAGGCCTAATACCCAGAGATGCTGTGAAATACAGTGATTAGATCAAGGAATGTTATTCATCCTCTTCTCATCTGAAATGGGTTCTTTAAATTAAAAAAATGTAAATGGCACAAAGCAAGTCCAAGGTAGCTGCAGGACAGGTTGGCATAGAGAGGGATTGCTTAGCAGGAGGATATAGAGGAATAAGTAGTAAAGGAACTGCGTGGAATATCTGCTCTTCTGCACTTCAGACTCTGCAGCCAAAATTTATGTTTTTCAGAATTTCTAGCACCCCCAAAATCTGAGGACAGATGAGATGCCCTTTATTATGCACTGGCCCTTTGTCATGATCACCATGTCATCAAAATGTTGGATATCATGTGGCTCTGTTAGGCAACTAATTTCCTCTGATTGGAAATGCTATACACAAAGTCTTCCTTTTGCCACAATGACAATGATGGCTTCAGTAAGCCAGGCTGAGAAAAATGACCAGAAGTAGATTTCCTCCAGCTATTATCTGTGTTTGAAGTATTTTGATTCCTTGGAAAATAACAACATGGAGAGCTAATGTGCCCAAGTCCACCAAGTGAGGTTTACTTCCAGAAACTAAGACACGTGGTACAGCTATTCTGTTCAGGCCTTAGTCACATTTGTGTGTTCACATATATGATGCCTAAGAGATTGGCCTTGGCATCTGCTTCTCTGTAAATTTAGCTGCTATAAATCACAAAGGAATGAAGACCTTTTCTGTAGCTCCTACTTATGCATGTTGTTCTCTCTCCCTCTTTCCTCAGAGAGCTGATATAGGGATCTCTGCCCTAACCATCACCCCCGAGAGGGAAAATGTGGTGGACTTCACAACGCGTTATATGGACTACTCAGTGGGCGTGCTGCTTCGAAAGGCAGAGAAGACAGTGGACATGTTTGCCTGCTTGGCACCATTTGACCTCTCCCTGTGGGCATGCATAGCTGGCACTGTGCTGTTAGTAGGGCTGCTGGTCTACCTCTTGAACTGGCTCAACCCCCCACGCCTTCAGATGGGATCCATGACCTCCACAACCCTCTACAACTCCATGTGGTTTGTGTATGGATCCTTTGTGCAACAAGGTAAGAGACAGAGGGAGACTCTGCCTCCCAGAGAAAACCTATATATCCTGTCTGTTGCTATAGAGACCTTCCTCTTCCCTCCCACAGCCCACAAGGGACTGGGAGCACTGGAAAGCATTGTGGTATAAGGTTTGTAAGACATTTGGCTGCCCAGTGTGGGAACCATGAGAAGTTCAGAGTACTACATGCTAGCTTGTTTTGATTTGTAGTTGTCTAATCAGAGAAAGATGATTTTTCTCTGGGAAAAAAAAGGTTTTCTCATAATCTGCTGAAGAATTATTCATAGTTAATGTGAGTGCCATGTTCTTACGCAGTCAGACAGAAAATATTGGGATTTGGCTTTTGAACTAAGTTTAGACTAGTCACGAGTGCTAAATGGTCTTATTGTCTTTCCTCCCTCTTCTGATTTATCTCCATTTCCCTATATAATGTTTAGACTCAACCTTTTCTGGCCTTCCTGGATGCTTTCTCAATCACCTCTAGCATCTGGTGTAGCCCAGGCTATTCCCCATTTCTGTTTATATTCCCAAGCCCTTCACAACTACCTGTTCCAGAAGAGCTTTAACCATGCATCCTAAAGACATCAGGGACTACAGATCTTGGCTTCGTATATACTACTTAAAATTCTGGTCTACAAATTAGGGTTGTAATGCAAAGTGGAATAAAGAAACACAGCTTCATATGAGAGAACAAAGAAGATTTAGATAATAACACTTGACAACAAAACAGAACGAATACTTTCTGGCATATCCACGTAATTGTTCATCAGTCACTACTGGCACTGCAGGTACACCTATTTGTAATTGCACAGAGCATCTGCTCTGCAAAGAACCATGGCCACTGCAGCCTCAAAGCTCCCAGATAGTTTTTCTGGATTTTAACATTAATTTAGATGGAACACTGAACACAAAAGCATCATATTTATGTAACACTGGCAACATGTAATTTAGAAATTACGTTATTCCCTGTTAGAAACAATCAGATGGCATCCATAAAAGCTAAAGGTATGCATGAAAATCAAGTGTGAATCTCCTAGAAGGGAAAAAAGTTAAATTAACACCACCATCCAAAAAAAGAAGAAAAGCTGAAGTTGAGAATTTCCACAAGAGGTATGATTTTAAACACATCGACCTAGAGACATTACTTTTAAAATTGTCATTTGCATTGAGCGGTGATGGCCAGCTGAGAAAAGCTGAAGAGATTGTTTCATGTTTGTTCTGGATTTTTTTTAAAGAAAAACAAAGACTTCAGAGCCAGCTGAGAGCTACAAAAGTTTTTTGAATATATGTGGGTGGGTTTATAAAGTTTTCTTTCTGTCCAAAGTATTCTGAGTGTAACTGTTTAGGGAATCCAACAGTGAGAGAGTAGTTGGTCCGTTACAGAACTAGACTCATTAGGTCTGTCTGCTTGTTAGGTTAAAACTTGTGAATTAGTTTCTTCACTGCGTGAATGCGAGTAATTTTACATAGGTTTATAGCCTGGTATTAGCCTTAGCATCTCTGCTGTACTCCCAACATCATTAGTCCCCAAAAGCTTTATAGGACACTGCCCAGCAAAGGTTTAAAGGAGGCAAAGCTAGTTTAACCACACACTTCAATCTCATAAATTATTATCAGAATTGTTTGCCTTGTGTCTACCCAAGTAAGCCTGTGTTGCCCGGTGTCCCGAAGTTTCCTAAGTCATAGGTCCAGCCCACAATGCAGCCCTTAAATAGATGCCCAGTTAGCATACAAAGAAAAGATTTTTCTGACCAGTCAGTAAAAATGAGTGTTTGAGGAGGGCTTAGAGGGAAACCTTGAATTAAGCATGAAGGTGAGGAAGAAATTAGATGAAAAAAAGTGGGACCAGATGACAAAAAAGCAGAATTTACTGGAAAACGCAAAGGAAAGGAATATGCTCAAGGAGATCTGCATCCACTCCCCATGGTAAGAGGGTCATGAGGTGCAACTCAGTATTAGTAAAACCTGCTGGTGGGACATGGCAGCTGGGAGCACTAAAACCGTTGTGGGACTTCAGAAAAAGAAAGCCACGGAACTTGGAAGGTGAGAGGCATTTATTTACAGAGAGAGAGATCTTGCCACCCTACCAAGTGGATTTTCAGCACAACTCTTTAGAATTCAGTAGAATAATATAAAATGTTCATTTGGTTCTTACTGAGTGAAGGGAAGCTATAGATACATCACTCCTTCAAACAACAAGAGGACAGTCCTTAATTCGCTAGAAGGAGAAATGACACAAATTTAATAGGGTTGAGACCAAAATATATGAAACTTACAGACCAATTTAAACATAAAGAGTCAGAAGATCTCAGAAATTCAGTGCGAAATTTATATGACATTTATAATGTCAGCCTGTATTTCACAATCAATTTGAATATAACAAAAACTATATTAGCTGAAGCGTTATTGTTTACTAACCCTTGTGAATACAGACAAATGAAAGTAATTTCCATTGACAAGCTAACTGGCTATTGTGGTAATTTTGCTTCTGTTTTCACTCATCAGCTCTTTATTCAGCAGAAAAACTCTGCAGGTTTTATTTGTTTTGGAATAGCAAATCTGTTGCTATTAATTGTGATTGGCATATCTTAAGTGTGGCAGCATGGGACATTTCAAATACTGTCACATTGACTTAAGAAGTCTTTCAGCTGCTAATTTAAAACATGACAAGATACTCATTTCTGTTATCAAAACATACAGCCAAAGATGCTTTTATATCCTGCACTGAGAGAAACAAAGCCACAGGAACCAAGGATTGCTAGTGCTTTGATAGCGCTGGATTCTTTATTGGGGGCTAGCGAGCACGTTCTGGCATCGTCGTCTTTTTCTTTCCTCTAGCTAGAGGAAAGATTTGCAAGCACACAGGCTGGCTCCTGACCTGCCACGGCTCTGAAGACAAAGAGGCCTTTGGTGCAAAACTACAGGTCACTCTTTAAGGAAACTCATAACCAATTTTGATTGAAACAGAAAGGACTTCTTTTGCTTGTTTCTTTTGAAATAGTTAAAAACTCAGCAGATTTTAGCAGGTAGCTTCAGTCTGCTGTGTCACTTCATATTTTCTTTCAGCCTTGACTCTGATGTTCTGATCAAATCCTATTAACAAGTTTTAACCTTTTGCAATTTTTGAAACAACAAAGAAAAGTACTGTGTCATTGTCTGTAGACTAGAGTCAGCACAGACCAGTCCAGTAGTTTTTAAGGCAGGTCTGTGATCACTGTCATACTTGGTAGCAAAATTTAAGTATTTTTTAATTGTTTCCTTAAAGGTAGACTGCAACTTAATGTCACTGCTTCTTATATCATTTAAACTTAGGTCTTGAACTTATCTTTCAATTTCTTTTTTCCTCATGTTGGAGTGACCGGTCTAGGTACCATTTTGAGACTCTTGTGATATAGAGGTATATTTTCTCTCAGTTGCCCTTTTAATTTTATGTTCATTCATTACAGAGATCAATGTGTATGTATTTATATATGTTATTTTTGTAATTTTAAGATACATGTGATTGTTGATTAGAAGAGACAATTTTGAGGATAGAGCTGCAATGTAACTTGGGAGGCTCAATTAATATAAAAGTGCATAAATGGTGAAGTGGGTTTTTTTTATTCTGTACTCAAGCCCTTCATTTAAACAAACATGATGGCCAGTGCATTGAAATGCTTTGTCTTACTACCCAATATACCCACTGAATCTCCAATATACTGTGACCACTAAGAAAGCAGAGACTTTTCAGTGATCTTGGCCATTCAGTGCTGTGGATTATATTAAAAACAAATGCTTCTGACTCTGAACTACTTATCCAGGCATGAGATTCTGTAACACACATCTGTTATCTCCGAGTTGTTTATTTATGCCTAAAGATGAGCAAATTCATAGATTCAGCCTGTGGAGGATTTCAGGTATGTTGAAATTTAGTGTCATGGCTTCTGAATTTGTTCTTTTCCACTTGCTCATCTTAGAAAACTAAGTGGCAAAAGCTCTGTATTTTGCTTCTTTTCAAAATTAGCTTTTGCCAGTTGCACAGAAAATGTTGTTAAGGTTTCCTTTTCAGTGGGTTTCCTCTCTCTCTCCCACTCCATATTTCCCCTTGACTTCTCAAACTGCTTCTTACAGGTTTTGCTCTCTGCCTACATTACACTGCAGCTGGTGGTCACCATTGCTGAAGCTTTCTTCTTGGATATCACTCGTGACCCCCCTGGTCCTGCTGCTCCTGCTTTTCCCCATTGACTTGGCTCATCCCCAGGCCTCTACTATTATATATTTAACAAAGCTGAACAGAGAGAAGTGCAAAGTGCTGCCCCTGGGGAGGAACAACCCCATGCACCAGTGCATTCTGGGGATCGCCCAGCTGACTGAGCACTGGCACAGGTTGCCCAGGGAGGTTGTGGAGTCTCTGCCCTTGGAGATATTCAAATACCATCTGGAAACGGTCTGAGGCAACTGGCTCTAGGTGGCCCTGCTTGGGTGGGGGGTGTTTGGACAAGATGACCTTCAGAGGTCCCTTCCTACCTCAAGCAGTTTGAGTGATATATTATAATGCTATATTATGTAGTCTTTGCTCAACTCTTGTGCTATTCTATACAACCGCATTTTTCTGTCTCTTCAGCCCTGGTATTGTTGCTATTCCATCAAATTTAGCCCTCACAGAACATGCCAATGTTGCAAACCTGCCATATGAGCAGGGACCAAAGAACTATCTCAGAGAGGAAAATGGGTTTACTAAAAATTTTACTAAAAACTTCATCAAGATAAACTGAATCAACTCACTGCAATGGCACAATGTCCATTTAAACTTGCTGAGAACCTAGTTTAACCTCCTGAAGGTTTTCTATTAGCTTCCTATGACTTTATGGGCTCTTGTTATGAAATACTCTAGAGAGCACTCTGCTCTCACCATTACTGGAGAAAACCAATGATTTAAGAAACAGAAGTTCAGGATTTAGAGTTATTCCCAACCCTTTTTGTATAATAGATCCTTTTCTGAGACAGGTGAAATGCTGCACA